GGGGATAAGAGGGATCATTTCCCAGCTAGGCAGGGACAAGGTCTTTGAAGTCCTGAATGACCAGGAAGGGATTTGGGACATGGCAGGGTCAGCATGGCCAAAGGAGGTTTGGTGCTGGGGAGGGGGTGAAGGTGGAACTCCTCCACACAGGACATGTGGATCCCAGAATCCCAGAATGTTTGGGATGGGAGGGACCTTAAAGCTCATCCAGTTCCACCCCCTGCCATGGGCAGGGACACCTCCCACTATCCCAGGCCCCATCCAACCCAGCCTTTTCCCCCCTAAAGCCCAGGTCTGACCACACAACATGTTCCATCTGCCCACCATCTGCCCCCAGGAGCGTGGGGGTCCCCAGGAAACATCCCAAATGGCTTTGCCTGGGAAGACACTGCTTTCCAAACGGGATTTCAGCTCCAGGTTTGGAAGGATGGGTTAGCAGAGCTGCTGAAGTGCATGGAATCATTCCAAGGGGTTATCAGAGGGTGGTGGTTGGGGTTGGAAGGGATCTTTAAAGGGCATCCAGTCCAAGCCCCCTGCCAGGAGCAGGGACACAGCAGGGACCCAGGACCCCAAGGGACCTACAAGGAAGCTGGAGAGGAACTTCATCGGGAACTGTAGTGCATGGAATCATTCCAAGGGGTTATCAGAGGGTGGTGGTTGGGGTTGGAAGGGATCTTTAAAGGGCATCCAGTCCAAGCCCCCTGCCAGGAACAGGGACACAGCAGGGACACAGCAGGGATCCAGGACCCCAAGGGGCCTACAAGGAAGCTGGAGAGGAACTTCATCAGGAACTGTAGTGGCAGGACAAGGGGGAGTGGCTTCAAAGACACAGAGTATGTTTAGACTAGAGTTTAAGGAGGAATTCCTGGCTGGGAGGGTGGGGAGGCCCTGGCACAGGATTTCCCAGGGAAGCTGTGGCCGCCCCTGGATCCCTGGAAGTGTCCAAGGCCAGGTTGGAGCAACCTGGGCTGGTGGAAGGTGTCCCTGCCCATGGCAGGGGGTGGAACTCAATGATCTTTAACGTCCCTTCCAACCCAAACCATTCTGGGATTCCATGTTCCTAAGTCATGAGCCAGGAAAGCTGGATTATTCCAGTTTTTTTCCTGGTAAGGAGGTGAAGAAGAAGTGGAAAAGGGTTGGTTCCTGCCTGGAGGGGGCAGGTCTTCCTGACCGTGGAAAGGAAGGGAGAGCACAAACCACCCCTGCCATGGCTTTGGGGCAGGAGAAGGGCCATTCCAAACCCACCAAGGTCCTTCCACCACACCAGGCTCTGGAGGAAGCCACCCTGCCAGGGGGGATTTATCCCAGGAGGCACTGGATCCGTTGCCCTCCATCCCCTCTGATTTCCTGACGGAACATCCATCTCTCCTCAGGTGTTGGGACTTGAGTGCTGGCAATTTAAAATGGATTATTCAGGTGCCCATCCTGGCAGCTATCGTGGTGAGTACCCACTCCTGGCAGGAGAGGCAGTGCCTGTGGTGGGATGGGAAGAGCTGAGCCAGGATTCCCTACTCCAATAATTAATAACAATCTACCCTTAGTAATGTGGGGTCTTTATATATCCAGTTTAAGGGCCTTATTTTTTGACCTGCCTGGAAGTTTGACAGTTTGACAGCACAGGGCTTTGAGAGACTTCAAGTTTTGCTCAGGAGAGAAAAATCCCACCTTTCTGACCCTAAAATCCAACATGCAAACCAGTATTTCCAACCCATACCATACTGGGAGCTCTCAGGGGTCATTCTGACCACCAGTGGGAAGAACTGGGATCTGGGGTCTGGAGCTGGAGCAAATCTTTTCTCCAGGAGTGTTTCAGTGTCATCAAATTGTTCCAAACTCATCTTGCTGAGCTGATGAAAAGCTTGGGAAGCCTCCGAGGTGGGGAGGGAAGTTAAACCATCCCAGCTGTGATGGGACACCTTAATCACTGATGGGGGGGTTATTCCAACCCCTCCCAGGAGCCAGAGGGGACAGAAAGGCTGCAGGGATGTTCTCCAGCCCCAGGGCTGAGCTCTCCAAAGCCGGAGAGTTCGTTATAAAATGAGATTATCCACACAAGGGGAATCCAGGGGTGGTTTTGTGTTTGCCTGAGTAGTGTCCCAATGGGGTGGAGAACCTGCTTTCCCAGATTTCCTTCATTCCCCTGGAATTGAGGTGAGTGAGGTGTTTGGGGCTTTGGGGGCTGGGGCTCAATTTCTCCCCTTTGCTGGAAATTTTCCCCAATTCCTTCTGCACCTTGGAAGAAAAGGATCCCCACCCCCAGCCCACAACGTGGTCACCAGGAATGAAACGGTGGGATGGAGAAGCAAGTTCAGGTGGTTCCAGGGGCTGAATTCCAGCAACCCCCTCGCATTTCATGTAAAGCCCAATTAGCAGAGCAGAAAGAGCCCCGTTGAGGCTGAGCCCTGTGCAAACGCTGCTGCTGCAGGAGGCTGTTTGCAAAGGCAGCCATTGATCCTGCAAACAGATTCTGTGGCTTGTTTCTGGTTAACTTCTGTGGGTTCACATTGTTCACTTGGCTGCTCTCTCCATTCCCTCACTGGCTGCTCAGATGTTGCTGCACTCAGTTGTGCGTTTTCTGGATGTACTTGCAGAGAATTTGGAGGCTGAGGGGCTTAAAATCCTTCTCTCCTCTCCTGACTTTGATGTTATTCCGCTCCCTGGATTTCTTTTAAGATTTAGCACAGTTCAGGAAATCAGGGGAGTTTCCCTTCTAATTGTGGTGAGTTTGGACATCTTTGATTTAGCCAGAACAAGATCTCACTTTGGAGCCTTTGAAGCCAAAAACACTCATATGAGAAATAAATCCTGCTGGGGGTTTTATTCCCTTTGGGATTGGTTTCTAGTAGAAAGGAATTATCTGCTCCCAGGCTCTGCCTGGGGGTCTGTCCATCCCTCCCTCACAACTCCCGTGCCAGGCACTAAATCCCAACCAAAGGGAACTCTGGGTGTTAAATTCCCACAAAATGGTCAAACAGATACAGGAGAGAAATTTTCCTGGTGGCCCTTCAAGGGAAAGGGTGAAATGGGAGGAGCTTCCTCCCTCTTTTCCAGAGGGGAACTCGTCAAAAATGAACTTGCACCTCGTTAAAGGTGAAGGAATCCAACCCCAGGAGACAAAGCTGTGGCAAAACCAGGCCCTGCTCATTCAGCAGCTCAGGGAACTCCTTGTAACAGCGAGGATAATTATCCATTGGAACGACTTCCCAAGGGTTGTGGTGGGATCTCTGTCACGGAAACCCTGGGAGAGCCAGATCTGCTCTGAAAACAGGGAGGTCTCCTGGGCTGGGTTGTGCCAGAGATCAAACCAGAGGGTGACAGATGGTCCCTCCTGGCACGAAATTCCAAGCCTGTGTGGTTGTTTGGTTCCTTGAAACGCTGCTCCGGGGGCATCTGGGAGGTCAAATGACTGCTGGGAGCTTCCAGAGGAATTCCCAGGCCTGGGAACACGGATGTGCCTGGTGCAGTCCCACAGTGGGGCTGCATCAGTGCCGTGAAGGGGGTTGGCTGGGCCAGCTGTAGGTGGAATCCAGGGCAACCAGCCCCTGAAGAGCTCCAAAAACCCGAAAATCTCTGGAATGTCAACCTGGTTTTCGTCTCCTTTAAGGAGCCAGGAGATGTTTTGCCATTCAATTTTGCCATGTGAGCCACCAGGAGCATGTGCCTGGAGGGCAAGGTTGGATTCACAGGGTCATCAAGGCTGGAGAAGTTCTCTGAGGTTGAGCCCAACCATTCCCAGCACTGCCAAGGCCACCACTGAGCACGTCCCCAAGTGCCACATCCACAGGGCTCTTAAACCCCTCCGGGGACGGGGATCCCACCACTTCCCTGAGCAGCTATTCCAAGGTGTGACCATCTGGATCAGCTTGGTTGGGCAGTTAACCACGAGCTGGGGCCACAGGTGTGTCTCCCAGCATCAGAAGCAGATATTCCTCCCTGGCTGTCCTGGTGTGACCCACACCCAGCCCCTCTCCAGGGAAGAGCCGGGGGTGAAGCCCAGCAGAGGTTTGACAGTCCCATTGCTCTTGATCTGTCACCTCCTCTCAGGTCCACTCTGTGTCTCCATCACAGTGCCTTTGGCTCGTTCTCCTTTCATTTTCCACGTGGAAACATGGAAAGGCATCCTACTAATGCTCCTGGTGTCCTGGGAAGGTTTGAATCTCAGCCGGGCTGCGAGAGAAAATTATAACTTCATTTGGGTCTTTTCCCAGGAATTGCCCAGTTTCCAGGTGCCTGCTGGGCTGGCTGGCTCAGTTTTGGGGGTTTTCCATGTGAGGTGTCCTCCCCTTGTCAGAGAAAGCCCTTCCTTTCTCTCTCCCAGGGGTAAACCCTGATAAAATCCCACCAAACAGGTCATTCCCGGGAAGCTCATCCCTTCCGCAGGAGGAGCTTCCTCCACAGCCACTGCCTTGACTCCCCCGGGGGGAATGAACCAACTAAATGCCTCTGCCACCACCTGGATGTGTGTTTTTTAACAGCTCTCCTTTCTCTGTTGTTGTTTTCTTTTTTTTTTTTTTGTCCTTGCAGGTAAATTTTATTCTTTTTATCAATATTATCAGAGTCCTCGCCACCAAACTACGGGAGACGAACGCGGGGAGGTGCGACTCGAGACAACAGTACAGGTGGGTCCCGGGGCCTCTCCACTGCTAGAAGTGGATTAATTAACTAATTAACTAATTAACTGACACTACTGACATTTGCCAAGCTTGTTTCCCTGGGGGGAAAAAAGTGGGATTTGGTCATACAGCGTAAGAGGAATGTGAATTTTAGAGTTGATTGTCCATATTTTCCTTTAAGTAAACTAATTTTCCTTTAAGTAAACTAATTTTTTTAAGTAAACTAATTTTCCTTTAAGTAAATTAATTTTCCCTGTTTCCCCTTTGCACACACCCTCTATCTGCTCCCTGTGCAGTTACTGTGGTTCAGCAACTGGGGGTTATAATTCAGATTTGTGGCTGATATTTCTCAGGAGTTTTTGCAGAATGCAATTCCTCGATCAGATTTAGTGGTTTTGCTGACATTTTCAGAGGATTTATTATATTTTTCCTTTTTTTTTTGCTAAAGATGCATTTTTAGTGTCAAGACTTTATTTAGCGACCAGTGAAACGCCAAATGGGGGGTTGATTTTTTTTTTGTCACCTCTCAAATAAATAAAAGAAAAAGATCATGTATTAACATTTCCTGTGATGTTCTTAGAGTCTTGATGAGTTATTTTTCCCTGAGCTTGTTGGGAAAACTCTCATCTCGCACGCTGTGAACAAAAAAAGACTGGAATATTTTGTGAGGGTAATTCTGTCACCTCCACGGACTGATTCTGTGGTGTACATGTGGCTGTCCAACCTCTGGCTACACCTTTAATTGAGGAAAAGTGTAGCTGTAAAGTTAAATTTTAGAAGGTGGTAGGAGCATATCAGCCTGGCCAACCATCTGTACTGCTGTCAAACTTGGTTTGGAATCCACACTGGCAAAGGCAGTTCCATCCATGGTTCCCTACAAGAGTAACCTGTGTCAGCTGTACCTTTTGGGGCGAGGACAAAGCCCTCATTTCACCCCTTGGCTTCAGAGGAAGCCCGGGTTGAGCAGTTCCCGGGGGCTGCAGCCACCTCAAACAGGGTGGGGAGGATTTTGTCTCCCAAGTCTGGTGCTGCAGAACGAGTCAACAGTTTAAACATCTCCTCAGCCCTTCCAGCCCTACCTGGAGGACCTGCCTCGTAGGTTAGAGAGGAATTCAAGCTCTTCAGCCGGTGTAGAAGTGACTGTGCTGCTCTTGAGCCAAGAGTGCAGAAATTAAAGCCTTTTTTATGTTGTTGAAGCCCCTAAAACGTGTATCCGTTGCCTCATTTCCATTTATTTCCCTCCTGTGCTTTGTGACATTTGGTCTGCCTGTTAAATCTGCCCTTCAGCGGGTGTTTGGTGCCTTTGCTGAGATGACCAAGACATTCCTGCCTCTTTGCTGGCCTTCCCTTGTTTGTTGTGTTGTGTTTTCCCGTGTTCCGCCAGCTCTTCTCTCCTGGTAATTCGGGTTATTTGCAGCGTGGTCAAAACCAGACGGAACAAACAGATTGCTGAGACGCCTCTGGTGCTTGAGAGCTCCCAGGGCTTCCCAGAACATCCAGGACTGACCAACATGACCCATGGAAAGGGGGGAGAGCAGAGTGATGGGGGCTGCAAACCATGAGCTCGCTGCCGCTGCCTCCCCCTCCGAACCCCCCCTGTTTCCTTGGAGGCAGGAAAGGACATTTTGGCAGGAAAACACCTCTCCATTTTTTTATTTTTTTTTTTTTGCTGCCCTGTCAGGGCTCTGATTTATCTGTTTATTTACTTCTCCCTGGCTGAAAGTTGCTGTTAATCATGGTTTGGATGGGGCTTTCTCCTTCGGAAGTGTCCTGTTCCCTCGGGGGTTTGCAGTTGCTGGACAGAGGCCCTACCAGCCCTTTCTGGGGGGGAGGTTTGCCCCTGTCAAGAATTGCTGCTCCTGGTGACCTGCTGGAACTCTTGGCAGAGGGTTTAACCCTTCAATTAATGCCACTGATTCCCCAAGGAGCAAACCCAGCCAAGTGCTTGGGTTGTGTGGAGCCTCCCCCCAGTCCCCAGCACGTGCTGAGATTCAGCTGCTTCTTTAGTAGGAGGTTTTCCAAGTGATCTTGCAGCCCAGAGCACCTCCTGAGGGTGTCCACCCTCCAACCCCACAGGGCACTGTCCTCTTCCCTCAAATAGCTGGAATAACTCTGCTCCCAAATGCACTTCCCTCTCCCCCAGCCCTGCCTCTGACCCAGGGGGGATGTCCATGGTGTGTCTCAACAAGCAGGAAAATTGGGATTGGAGGTGCCCTCTGGAGATCATCCAGTCCAACCCTCCCTGCTCAACCTCCTGCAGGTTGTGTAGGACCATGTCCAGGTACAAAATGAAGGAGAACATCCTTTATGGACAAGGATTTAATGCCAGTCAGGGGCTGAGGAAAAGGAGAACATCCTTTAGGGACAAGGATTTGATGTCAGTCAGGGACTGAGGAAAAGGAGAACATCCTTAGGGACAAGGATTTGATGCCAGTCAGGGGCTGAGGGGAAGGAGAACATCCTTTCTGGACAAGGATTTGATGCCAGAGGCTGAGGTGAAGGAAAACATCCTTTATGGACCAGAATTTGATGCCAGTCAGGGGCTGAGGAAAAGGAGAACATCCTTTATGGACAAGGATTTGATGCCAGTCAGGGCTGAGGAAAAGGAGAACATCCTTTCTGGACCAGAATTGGATGCCAGTCAGGGACTGAGGGTGAAGGAGAACATCCTTTCTGGACAAGGATTTGATCCCAGTCAAGGCTGAGGGCTGGAAGAGCAGCAAACATTCCTTTCCAGCCACCCTCCCCCCCTCCACCCATGATCCTGGAGACAGCCTGAGGCTGGAAAAGACCCTTCTGTGCCTTCACCTTCAGCAGCATCCCCTGGGAGGGGGTTGAGGTGGCCCATCAGGACAGGGGTTGTCTCACAAGCCATAAGAGAAGGAACAGCTTGAAATTCCAGGTGGCCCCAATTCCACAGGAGTTGTCCAAACCTAACCAGGGCTCCTGTTCCCTCCCCTCCACTAATCCCCTCTCTTTTCCTGTGCCCACAGGAAGCTGCTGAAATCTACCCTCGTCCTTATGCCTCTGTTTGGAGTTCACTATATTGTTTTCATGGCTATGCCATACACAGACGTGTCAGGGATTCTTTGGCAAGTTCAAATGCACTATGAAATGCTGTTCAACTCTTTCCAGGTACTGGCACTGGGGAATTATTGGGGGGAAACCACGAGGATTTCAATGGGGAGAAGGGGGAATTGGGAGTGCAAACTGTCTCTGGAAGCAGGGCTGCTTTTTCAATACACAGTGATTGACAGTATTTGAATAGATATAATTTTATAACATAAATATTATAATCATCTTTATAATATAAAGATTATAAAATATTTGAAAATATTTTCTCTTTTCAAAGCACGATATTCATGTTATTTGTATTTATAAAGGCCAACCAAAAAAAATGGTCCTGTTGAAAGGTAACTTTGCCCCACAAAATAAACCCCTTTAGACCCAGGTGAGACATGAGCTGGTGGAGATCCACAGAGATGTTGCTTTAAATTACCTTCCAATTTTCCTGCCCCAAGTTGTCTTTCAGTGCTGAGTGGATTCCTCAGTTCCTGGAAAAAAGGGAGGTTTAGTTTTAGGAATGGTCCTGTGGAAGACACAGCAGCAGGAATTAGCAACTCTGCAAGAGAGCAGCGTTTGGTCACCACTGAGAGGTTGACTTTTGGCTCTCCTGTGCTCATGGGTGACCAGAGTGGATGATGAAGGGTGGACAGAAGGTCCAGAGAAACTGGCAGGGAGTTGGAGCCCAAACCTGCATTCCTGTGCTTCCACAGTTCCTGTTGGATGGGATAAAACACTCAGCAAGAGCTGGGGGAAGTGTTGGCCAACACAAAGGTGTGGGGGGTTTGCTCCCAGCTGGATTCCTTCGCTGGTCTCACTCAGCCAGTTCTGCTCCAGTCACAGCCAGAGCTGGCAAAGGCCCCTCGGGACCATCTTCCACCTTCTCTCCCACCCTCCAGGAGATCAGCCACACATAAAACACTGGGAATTACATCCAGGAAGTTCATAACCACCTTCAGTGAGGCAGAACTCCCCGTGTTCCCAGGGCCCCCCCACCATCCCAGAAGCCCTGCAGAAGCTCTTCCCAATGCACCCCACCCCTGTACCCCGTGTCCTCCCTGTCCCCCAGGCCCCCCAGGTCTACTGTGCCAATTTTACACAGCAAATGCTGAGTGTTGCTCCTTCCAGAGGAACCTGGGGGTGAAAAGAGCAGGAAAGAGAAGCTCCCACGCAGCCAAATCCCCACTAACACGTTGGTTTTTCTTCCTTTCAGGGATTTTTTGTTGCCATCATATACTGTTTTTGCAATGGAGAGGTAAGTCACCAACATCCTCGGGATTCCCCCCCCCTTTTAGGACAGTTCCACACACAGGTGGATGAACATCAGCACCTCCTCACTCCTTAGAGTGCCCCAGCCCTGTTTGGCACTCCAAGGTCTCTCAGTCCCCACTTTTGTTGGTCTGAGACACCCAGGTCAATATGTCCCCAAAAATGACCTGCTGGAAGTACCTAATGGAGATCAAAATGTGGGGGTTTTATCATTTCCCAGCACTAGGGCTGGTTAGTGCTGCTTCAGTTCAGCTCTGTGGCAGGAAGAAAAGTGGATTGGTGGAGTAGCTGCCTGACCAGAAAACTCTTTGGATTGTCCAGGGCCTTTTGACCCTTTTTTTTTTTTCCTATTTCCAGAGCAATATCCTCTGATTTCTTCATTTCCATTAATTCCCTCCATTGCTGCAGACTAAGGAACTAGATGGGAAAGGACTTTCATGGACTGGCATAAAGCTGGTTTGTCCTAAATTTGGAGATTTTAAGGGGAAACGTAACTTCAAATATGAAGATTAAAACAAGGCAAAATCTGTACCGTGAGGGGGATTCATCTCATCCCAGCTTTAGCCATCTGGTTTAGATTCAGTCTAAAGTAGTCTCAGTCTACAGTTATAGATTAATTCTAAAATAGTTAACTCCTTCCTAGAGGAATTTCTGGGCACTCAGGTGCCTCTGGAGGTTGTTCATCCCATTTTTCCTTGATTTCATGGTATGTGAGGGGATTCTCTCCTGGGTTTGCTCTTGGACAGAGTTCACCCCCATTTTCAGCCAGATGTTTCCAGCCACTCAAGCTTCCCAGCACCAAATATTCCACGTGGAAAGGGGAGATTTCAGGTGAATTTGCTGTTCCTTCCAATCCCATAGAATCACTGACTCTCCTGAGCTGGAAGGGACCCACAAAGATCATCAAAGCCCAACTCCCCCTGGAGTTTCCCATCCCCTCCTTCCCGCCCCTCTCTCCTCCCTCTCACGCTTGTTTTTTCCCCGCCTTTTCCCCCAGGTCCAAGCAGAAATCAAGAAGTCATGGAGCAGGTGGACTTTAGCCCTTGACTTTAAAAGGAAAGCACGAAGTGGGAGCACAACCTACAGTTACGGACCAATGGTGTCCCACACCAGCATCACAAATGTAGCCACAAGGGGAGCGCTTGCCCTCCATCTCAACACGAGACTTATCCCAGGGACCCTCAACGGACACCGGAATTTGCCAGGTTACGTGAAAAACGGCTCCATTTCCGAGAATTCCATGCCTTCCTCCGGGCCGGAGCAGTACAACAAGGACGAGGAATATCTCAACGGCTCCGGCCTTTACGACGGCGACAGACCCACGGCGCTCGTGGAGGAGGAGAGAGAGACAGTGATGTAAAGGGAGGAGGGGGAAAACAAGCAAAAAAAAGGAAGCCAAAGGATGGAAAAAGGTTCCCGGAGAGCATTTAGTGGGTGACGGAACATCGGGCCGCGCGTGGAATGCCGAGGGTTTCCGTGGAGTTTCCCCGTTCCGTGGAACCGGAGGTTAAGTTATGTGGGAGAAACAAGCGGGGGCACCAAGGTGGATCCCAGCCCTGGACTCAGTGATCCACGTGTCCCTGGTGTTCCCGGGACCACAGAGACACCGGGAGCTGGCCAGGGAGGGCTGGGAAGCACCCCGGGATTCCTCGGAGCTCTCGGAGAGCGCAGGCGGCCGAGGAGGACGGGAGGCTCCCGGGGGCTCGCAGGGAGGGTGCAGTGCCATCACCTCGAGGGGGTGCAGCCACCCCAGGCACCCCCCCTTTCAGTCTGGTTTGCCCTCTGCCCACAGGGCCTGCCTGGCACCACCCCCGGGTGGGCACTCGGCCCAAAATCCTGCTCCCTCCAACCCGTCGCGCGTCGTCCTTCCCTCGGGGAATCTCCTCGGCAAAGTGCTCCTCGGGGCTGGGGAGGGTTCACAGCTCGGGGCTGCAGGATCCAGGCAGAAAACTCTCCTTCCTCTCCCCGAGTCCCGGTAGCAAGACAGGAACCGGTGGGAATTCAGGATGGAAAATGTGGTTCTCAGAATACGCAACGTTTCCGTTCTTCCAGATGCTGCAGAGATGGAGAGGGGCCTTCCAAGGGCAGGGAATTCACAGATCTGGGAGGGGGGGGGTTGGCTAAAATCAGTTCAGAGGGGACCTGACTCAGCCCTCCCTTTTTGGGGAGCTCATGGAAAGAAGCTTCATTTCATTTTTAAACCTCTAAATTGCTCCTCATTCTGTTCCCTGAAAATCCCGATCCACTGAATCATAAAATCCCAGGGTGTTTTGGGTTGGAAGGGACATTAAAGATCAATCCAGTGCCGTCCCCTGCCATGGGCAGGGACACCTTCCACTCTCCCAGGTTGCTCCACTCTGGCCTGGAACACTTTCAGGGATGGGGCAGCCACAGCTTCCCTGGACAACTGGTCCAAACCCTCCTGAGGAGAAAGACTCCATCAGCCTTCTGCCTGTATCCCTCAGAAGCACAAACTGTGGGATACAGCCAGACAAACCCACCTTCACAAGATCCAAAGGCAAAATTTCTTGGATAAAAGCACAGGGATTGCTCCTGGCTGGTCACCTTCTGAGCTTCCCCTTTCTTTGTGTTTTGGTCCCACACAACTGGACACCAGGTCACACTTTGAGTTGGGGTCAACTCCAACCAAAGGCACTGTCTTTGCCTGGAGATGCTGAGATGAGGAGATCCTACAGTGAGTGCCTCCAAAGGGAATAGCACAAGAAAGTGTCTCCTTCCTTCGGGAGAGGGAGACCAGCAGGGTTCTGTCCCTGGGCAGAGTTTCCCTCCTTGGTGCTTTGGCCGAGGGTCCCCAGAGGTTGTTCTCTGGTGGATCTCCAGCAGCAGCGAAGGGCTGAAGTCCTGTTGGCCACCAGTCAGTTGTGCTGGGGCTGATCCTCCAGGGAAGGGGCTCTACCTGTTCCCAGCCATGATGCAGAACTGGTCAGGAGGGAGAAATTAGGAACAGCCACCAAAATTCCCACTGCAGCAAGTTCTGCTGAGCCAGCCTGGTCTCTCTTTCCAGCCTGTGTCCCACCACCACCATTCCTTTGCTCCAGTCCAAGACTCAGCTCCTCAGGGGGCTTTTTGTCCTTCTTTCTTCCTTTCCTTCTTGGCAGGTTTCTGGGAACTGAAGCATTTTGACCACTTTTACTCCAGTGGAATAGGAAAGAGGTATTGGGGAAGTTTGGGAAGGTGAGGAAAATGGGAGAATCTGCTCTCTCTGTTCTGATCCTGTGATATAATTGTTGGGTCACATCAACCAGAACTCCTGAGGTGCATCCAGTCCATGCAACCAGCTGGTCTGCAGAGGGAAATGAAGGGCTGACTTCCCCCAAACTCTGAAGGAAGGCAGGAAGAGGAGCTGGGATCTTGACCTGTGTCCCACAGCTCCTTCAACAACCTCCCAGCTTGGGCCTGAGCAAAGCCCAGGGAAATCAAGGGGAAAATCTCCTCCCCTGGACATCTCTGAGCTCAGGATTCAGACCTGCTGGGGGACGTGGGGGCTGAGCAGGTCACAAATCATGGAATCATGGAATCATTAGGGTTGGAAAAGCCCTCTAAGGTCCTCGAGTCCCCCCTGTGCCTGATGCCCACCTTGTCCCCCAGCCCAGAGCACTGAGTGCCACTGCCAGGCCTTCCTGGGACACCTCCAGGGCTGGGCACTCCAAACCTCCCTGGGCAGCCCCTGCCAAGGCCTGACCACCCTTTCCATGGAGAAATTCCAGCTGATGTCCAACCTGCCCCTCCTCTGGCCCAGCTGGAGGCCGCTTCCCCTTGTCCTGTCAAAGAGCTCTTTAAAAGCCAGGATTTATTTGTGATGTTCTTGTGGGATTTCACAAGTCAAATCCCATCACAACCATTTCCCACCAAATGGCAGCTGTTGAAATGTAAATTTTCAACGACTGATCTCTTTTCGTGCTCTCCCCTTCTGCCCTTCCCGTTTTTTTCTCACTCAAAAAAAAAAAAAATGTCTTGGTTATCATTTCACCCATGGAACAAAGAAAAAAAAAAAGACCAAAAAACCTCCAAGCACTGACTCAGTGTTTGCTTGTGTTTGTCACTGAGAACTCAGGATTAAGGACGTGTTTGACAATCACTCAGCACAGTTCAAGGAATTAGCAAAAGCCATGAAATTATTTATAAACAAATCCAACACCCTCATCAAACCCAGCCCTCGCTGCAATGAGTTTGGCACTGGATTATTTAGAATAAGTGTCTAAAAACTCCTGCTGGACACAGATAAATTTACAGGCACGAGGGATGTACAGAGGAAGAAATAATTTTTTTTTAAGCCTTTTTTAATTGCAAATCATGAATAATAGATTTGAGGGGGGCTGGGGGAGGATTGTATGAGTGAACAGTATTCCTGCAAAAATTGAGGAAAAGCTGATACCAAACCAGGGGGAAAAGTGACATCCAGGCATGGCAGAACATGTTTGGCAAAGCCTGTTCCTGCCATTCCTGGGCTGATCCCAAACTCCTGATTTGAGGGTTTGGATCAGGACTATCAACTAGAGATCCAAGGTCATCCTTCCCTGATTTTAGTGAGGAAAAAAAATCAGACCTGTGGTGTCTCAAAGCAGAGAATAAACCCCAATTCATGGCTGGGATTTGCTCTGGAAGGAGGAGCAGAGGGCAGAGCCCTTGGGTTCAGAGCAGCCCCTTCCCTCCCTCCGTCACCAGGAGCTGAGGACATTCCTCAAGGGGAGTTTCTCCCCATCCAAAGGTCTGGATCCACCTGGGGGGACAGTTCCTCTCCCCTCTGATTTCCCAGAAGGCCTCAGGAAGCAGAAACACGGAGAGTTTGGGATGGATTTTCACCATTCATCCGATGACCAAACCCTGCAGCCACCTCAGGGCTTGTGCCCATCCCGGGTTGGATCCAACGTGGGATCCTGGAGCAGAGAGAGCCTTGGGGGTGGGGGCAGCAAATATGTCATGGAATCACTGTCCTGGAATCAGCCTGGAATGGTTTGGGCTGGAAGGGACCTTAAAGGCCATCTCATCCATGGGCAGGGACACCTTCCCTGGGCCCAGGTCGCTCCAGCCTGGCAAAGACAGGCAAAAAGGCTTCCTGAGGTCCATCCCAAGGAGGAGGCAAAGGTGCAGAGGAGCTGCTGGCCTGGATTTTCCCAGTTTCCCTCCTCCCTGGTGTCGGATTTGTGCCCCTTTTCCTCTCACCCTGCAGAACCTCTGGCATTACCCAGGAGTCCTGCAGTCCCTCTCACCTCTCCAGGCCTGCTGGGCTGGCACAGGACTCATGGACTCATGGAATCTCCCTGCTCATCTTTTGGATGAGTGTCCCCTTTTCCACTGGGATTGGATGGGAATCCCACCCTGGAGGGTTCATCTCCTTTTGCCTCCCACCCACAGCACCACAACCTCCTGTTCCTCCTGAGTGCTTTCCCCTTGATCTCCCTCTTTTCCAGATGGGCACAGAGCTCCTAAATCCTCCTCAGCCTTTTATTTCTTCAGGAGGACTTCTGGCAGCAGTTTGGTCCTTTCTGCTTTGCAGACAAATGTTTTTACACCTCCTCTCCCCTGCTTGGTCTTGGTTCAGATGAGATCATGTCTTGTCCTATTCCCCACCATTCCTCAGCTCTGCTGCCTCTTGTCTGATACGTTTTGGAGCCAAGAGTTCACAAAGGTCTCCCAAAATCCAATTCTCCAGCCAGGGGTTGGCTCTGTTTATCTGTTTACGGGCAATCAGCTGAAGGTCACGGAACATCCACGGTGCTGGGAAGAATTTCCCACTTTTTAAACTATAAAAGCACACCAAGAGGGAAGATCTCCAAATTTTTCTTCCTGTTTACTGTCTTGTCAAACTCAATATCTGGATTAAAACTTTTCGCTTCAGGTTCTGACGGATCAAAAAGTTAAGAAACCTCATTTATAGGTTGGGTTCTCTCTTTTTTTTTTCCCCACTGACTGATTTTTCTGCACTTTCCACCTCAAAAGCTTCAAGAATGTTTGATGAGCAGAGGGCTCAATCCATCCCCTGACACTCCTGATCCTCTCACTGGGGTCAGTGGCTCTCACCTGAGACAGGATTGCATGAAATGAGAGGAATCACTTGAGGAGTGAGATGTTTAGGAATCTGTGAAGCCTTTCCAGGTGTTCTTGTTGGTGGACGTTGGTTTTTTCCACCCCTTGGTGCCCCTGAGTTTGGTGCAAACCAACCTGCCGTGGGAACTTGTGGCTCACGTCCCCTCTTTCTTCACTTCTCTGACGACCTTCGGGCTGGGAGGGGAAGCAAAGGGCACAGAGAGCAAGGAAAACACCCCCTGCCTTTCCCCCAGCCCTGGCTGGTACTGGTTGGCACGCAGGGAACCGAGCCAGCTCAGGTGGGATGTGCCCCATGGCACGGGCACAGCTTCAGCTGCTGCTGAGAAACACTGAGGAGACACTGCCAGGCTGGGCTGGGCTGGGCTGGGCTCCCTCCCAGCACCCAGGGCTCCAGCTGGCACAGGAACCACTCCTG